CTAGTGCATTTATTCAGTTTATATTAAAAATATGTAAATTATAAACATTAGTGTATATACAGGGTGTTGCAATAAGGATGGTAAGCGACTGTATCTTGGAAAGTATGTGTTGAATAGTGATCGGGAAAAAAATTTCATAACAAACTTGACGAAAAGAATTTGCTGGAAATTATTTTCAAATTTCTCAGATGACCACTAGATGGCGTAATTGCAAACGGTATTTTAACAAGTCGATTTTATACAGAAATTGTACCTATAAGTGAAACATCTAGTAAGTTTAGTCAAAAGATCATAAAAAACCGTACTACTTTGCTTATGAACTTTTTTCCTAAATAAAGGGACACGCTATCCTCTAATAACATAAACGGTTATTAATTTATTATTGTGCATGCGCAGAATAACGGATAACGTAAAACGTGTTGTAATTAAGGGGCCTAAAAACTCCCTAGTTTTAGTCGCATTTCTTGCTGAAAATGATTTATTTTTGTTCTTCTTTAACAGCCCCTAACCAACGCGCCTGGCAAGCGTGGTGTTTTAATGCCAACTCCTTTCATAGATGGTTATGTCGGAATTTAAAACATGTGGCCATGTGGCTCAGGCGTGTAGAGGTGAAAACCCGGAATCTCGCATTGATACTTCAGTCAGCCCCGTGGATTCTGCGAGGGACAAACTTTCAATAGATGATAAGAGGAGACGAAGAAAACTTGAAGAAACCCTTTACGTGGGGATGTACAATATCCGCACCATACGGCTGGAAGAACATCTCAGCGGCCTGGAACACGAATTGTAGGACATAAAGTCGGATGTCATAGGGATCAGCGAAACAAGACTGAGCAGCGAAGCGGTCACTATCCTTAAATCCGGACATTTGCTGTTCCAAAAGAACTCCGACACAAACTCACACATCGTAGTCGTTGCCATACTGGTTCACGAAAAGAAGAAACACTTGGTTGCAAAGACAACTAACTACTAAAGTAATTTACACCTCTGCCATTTCTGCTGATCAGGAATCTGAGCTCTTACATGTCCACCTCCTATTTGGTGGCTTTTGGAAGAAGGTGTTCATGCAGTACAGGTTTTCCTCTTGTAGGAAATTTATTAGCTTGTCCCCTCGTTCGTTTGCATAGCCAAGTCCATGTGTTCCGCTATTGTTTTCGGTTCCTACCGTAGCGTTAAAGTCTCCTATTATGATTTTGTACTGGGTTATTTCTGATCTTATAGCCTGTGAGATGTTCTCATATAATTGATCCGCGTCTTCTCCTCCTTAGGTACTCGTTGGAGCATATACCTGGACTACTTGGAGACTATATCTCTTTGATATTTTAAGGACTATGTATAATATCCTTGGTGATATTGACTTTAAATTTGTTACTAGATGTTTTACTTTCGTATGTATTAATATTGCTATTCCGCTGATATCTGTTTTGTTTCCGTCGTTCTTCTGATATAATATGTACCCTGATTTGACCGATCGGCATTTTTCCTCGGGTAGTCTCGTTTCACACAGACCAACGATGTCCCAGTTGATTTATTGGAGTTCTTCTTCCAGTTCCGCTTGTCGCTCATTGATCACATTCTTCTGAAGTAGCAATATGGTAGTGTGGTTTGTTGCGATTTTGGTGGTTTTTGCGAATTCTTTGCAACCCCCCAAATCCTTGAGGTTCAGTTGACATACAGATGTCCTACCCACCTGGACTACGATTCCATTTGTTTTGTGATTCGCCATTTGTGCAGAGTTTGGCGGTTTTTAAGCTAGTTTTCTTCCCCGCAAGTTAAACGGGTTGGAAGAAATTCCACCGGCTTTTAACGTGGAGAACCGACGCTGTTTTCAGTCGCTGATCTAGAGACAGACGCTGACATGCCAGTTTTGGTCCGTCCCGGGTATATAGAATTCCCCGGTACCCATCATATCTGGTGGGCCTTCCCCTATACGCCACCTTTAGTCTACATGAATGAAATTTCGACAACATTTTGATAACTACTAATACAAAGTGTTTTCAAGTTTTTTTCAGTTTCAAAACAAAGTTGAGAAACCAGCCCAAATTCATTTTTTTTTAATGCAAGCCCTTGAACCACGTATCATTCGTTTGGTAATACTATTTTTACGCTTAAGGGCGCACTATAAGGGTTGCAATTTCTTGCTTTCCCTGGACTGGGTTTTTTTTTTAAATGAGCACTGCATCTCATTCTTCATATATTATGCGAGATTTTCGCTTTTTATCGAAGTAATGGAGTTCACAGGAGATGTTCAAAGTTCTGTTCGTTTAACTCCAAATATGGCTGTGTTCCAACAACGTTATCGTGCATTCCTGGCAGCACAGATAGGTCGTTTTGTTTTATTTAGGAAGTAATAATTCATTAAAAAAAGCAACAAAAACATTGTTTTTGGCTTTATCTTAAAAATAACATTCCATCTAATAAAACACTTGTTTTTTTTTATTTTATCGTATTAGGTTAACAAGTTTTTTTTCACTAAAGTGACATCAATATTCAAATTGTGTTCTTACTTGAAATAGTCGCTATTTATTTCCTAAGTTCGATTGACTATTGCGGTGTTTGTCATCCATTTTGTGTAATTCAGATTTTTCCTTGTTAAAGAGTTGGGTAAGTACTTCACATCTTTGTATTATCGTTATTATGATACTTGTAAAAGCGTTTAAAAAACTAAGGAAAGTAGCATTACCGATAATTACTTATTGGAACATAAAAAAAATGGTTAAGTTGCAGATTTCGATGTTTGGGCATGTTTATCTTGAAACATTTTTTTTTCGTTAGTACATTTTTTAAAGTTTTAATCAATATGAAATTTGTGTGCCAAGTTGTGCCTATATCGAAGAAATATATAGAAATTTTTTTTGGAACGATGTCAATTGGGAAAAGCGATCTGTTTGATGTTTGGTGTGGAGGAAGCTTATTACAAGAAAATAATGCTGCTGTTTTGATCTATGTTTTAAATAAGCTTCATTTAGAAGATAATCAAGATGACAGTAAACGTGATTCAGTACAAGAAATGGTAAATAGCTTTACTAGTTCTGTTTCGAAAATGTGGAAAAACTGCATTCGCACTCGAAAGGTTTTCGAAAAGAGACATTCTGACTGGCTGCAGAAAAACATTATTTTTTGGAAGATCAAAACAAACCTGGTCCAACCAGAGGCAGACTTTGCAAACTTTTTATGGATCTAGGTAGCAAGCGAAAGAAACAAAAAGCTTATGCCGGTTTTGCAAAAGTACTCAACAGAAGAATTGATCTTCGCTGCACGAAGAAGGCCCCTGGACAAAGAAATGCGTGGCATATTCTTAAAGGGCTTTCAGATCCAGAGAACGCCTACAGAATCAAGAAAGCAATTTCAACGTCACCTTTGGAGCCAGTTAAATACACGCCAGAAGAAGCACTTGCTTTATTTATTGATTCACGCCCAATCGCGCGTCAATCAGACAACCCACAGAATTATTGAGGCGTAAAAAAAAGTTTTCAATAATATTTTTATAAGTATCAAAGATAAAAAAATTGGTTTTATACATAAATGGGGATGCGACGGCAGTGCAAGCCATTCTACCTATAAGCAGCAGTTCAGTGGTGCCGACCAATAAAACTAATTTTTGCGAATAAAACAATATTAAACAACAAATATCGGAAATAGAAGCAACTATAGTCAGAAATATCAGTTAGAAATTTACCATACTTTCAAAATGACCATGATAGATGGGAAGCTGTTCAGCGTACTTGGTGAGTCTTCAACACAGACATGTGGTATATGCGGTGCAACCCCTAAAGTTATAAAGAACTTAAAAACAATATTAAATCTTACACCAAATGAAACTTAACAAACTTAAACTTATACAAAATACCCTTATGTTGCAATAAAACTTTCATTTTTGTATTAGACGTGAAACATATTTAAATTAAATAAATTATACTAACTAAAAATAGTATATATTGGAAGCCCTATTTTTTACCACTTAAAATAGTTAAAACCACCACTGTGCAGCAGTCTGGGGTCACATTTGGAGCAGCTTCTCGTATTCGCTTAACTAACTCCTGCTCAGTTTGTACCGGTGTTAGGAAGATCAGAGATTAAATGTGTTCTAGTGTCCTGTGTATTTTACATACTTGGTAAGAATATAGCCCTTCCTTGGGGGGAGGGGGGTTATCAGAACAATTATCCGGTGCCTGAAAAGTGTTAGTTGTGTTAACAGAGAATCCTTTGGAGCAAACAAATATACTGAGATAAAGAGAATATAATGAACAATACAAGCGACACACTCTGACAGATATGTTAATACAGGGTTGGTCTTAAATATGTTCCAACAAGTTGTGCAATGCTCCGCGTTCTCCTGGAAGGCTGCAATTGTCTTCGGTACCTGTTCCTCCATGTCAGAAAATCGAGCATCTCAAGATCGTTTTTTAACGGCGTCAATTCCAGGAGCAAATCGTTCAGTGTCTCCCTTTGCTGGTTCTTACTGCGTCTGCTATGTTGCTGTGGCATTTTCCCATAATTAATAACATATTCGCAAATTCAATGTTTCTGTACATTTTTTGAAAGAAGCTTCAAAGTAAGTCACAGTTTGACAAAAGCTTGTTATTTTTGACAAAAACTATCTCCATATAACTATTTGTTAATGGCAAAAAACATCATTGTCACTTTGACATTTCATCAAAAAATTTGAAGCAAAGACGTCATTTTCCTTTTCGAATCCTTAAGTATTCCAGTAGGCTACCAATAAAAAATGGGACCATTTAAAAATAATACTTATCTAATAACAAAGTTGAAATTCGACCTTCCACTTCAAATACCTTCTGGAAATTTTCGAAGAAAAAGTTCTATGTTTTTCTGGTACTGTATAGTGAGCCCCTATAGCCCCATAAAATAAATGACGCCAATTATTAATCACCCTTTATATTTATGGAGAATATAATAAAGTTATATCAGCATCAATCCTAATCAGGCTGACTACTTTATAGAGGTTTATTCTTTCTTGACTCATTTTTCTGTTCCAGATAAAAGAATTCGAACCTGAGAGTGCTGAAACATCATCAGAGAACGTCAGTCAATACTTGGATAAAGAGGAGGCGTGTCCGAAGGTCGCTGATGTAAAACCGAAACAAACGAGTCCCGTGCCCGAATCGGCAGATCGGAAACGAAAATTGTCTACAGAAAGTGGTCACAGCTTTATGAAGAGAATTCAAGATGCTAAGCGGAAGATCAAAGTTCCGAAAATAAGTTTCTCAACAAAAAAGGTGACTATCAATAAAGTCTACATTGATATAACTTCAGTACACTTTCACTAGTATGCAAGCACAAAGTTCAAGTTGCCATCCACAATCAACCTTTCATTAGCATTTGATAGTCTCAACATCTAACACAACTTTGCATTTTACTACTTATTAGCAATCATTTTGTGGCAACAAACACAAAAAGTACGTAAAGTCAATCTTACACTAAAACCTTGCTTTTACTTAATGAAAGAGCCTCATTTTATGCATCTTACGATCACTTACCGAAATCAGTTAAATTCACAATTTGTACGTTAACTTGAACTCGCGTATTTTTTCATCAGCTCATCAAGAAAAGTTCCAGTCTTCCCAAAGATACAATCCAGAAGAAGGTAAAGAAACAAACAGACAAAACGCTTTTACGGAAGACTGATGATAACCCTCAATACATCTACATCCCCTTGAAGCCTCCTCCCGGTGAAACAGACGAATTTTCACACTTGGAATTCCAGTCGCAGGGTAAAGAACTTATGAATGTTGGACCTGGTCAACCGCACACTGACGAAAATTCGAAGCAAATTATTGACGGCACCTTTGGAGGTCCTAATGTCGAATGTGATAATAATTTATTAGAGACCAATAAAATTTCCACTCTTCAGAACAGTTCTGAAAACCTCGACAGCAGTGAGCTAAATTCGCAACTAGAAAAATCCCAAGAGACAAATATTGAAAATACCGCAACTGCTCTTGAACCTGCACCTCATCCTGAAATACAATGTGATAGCAGTGGACCAACGGCTAAAATAGGAGTTCAGAAAACGACCAAAAAATCCCCACTAAAAATTAACCCAGCTTTCAAACAATTTTTAAAGGATGTTCGACATTTGAAAGTATCTGAAAAACCAGAAGTAGTAGACTCAAGTACAGAATCGAAAGGTCTTGCTCTGGATACAAAACCTGCATTGGAAATTGCGGAATCTCCTGTTGCTGCTGTAAATTTAAGCGCTGAATGCGCAACTAACCAAGCTCCCATTCTTCACCAAGATGAAAGTGACGTTGTTACTGATCCAGATGACCAACCTGCACCTGGAAATACTTCAGATGGTTCAGAAATTGCAGAAAACGACCAATTTGATAAACTTTTCGAAGCAGGCTGTTCAAAAAATTCTGATCCAACTAATATTCATGAGTTGATGGTGCCCCAAGAAACCAGCGGCTGTTCTGAAGCAGTAACACGAACAAGTCGAAGCAAAAGCGCAGAGCCAGAAAAGAGAAGAAAATTATCACTAGAAAGCCGCAAAAGTTTATCCAGATTAGGGCTAATGAAAAAAATTCGAGAAGTTTCCGGAAAAGTTACTAGTGCACTCTCTGTGGAGAATTTTAAACAACTTTTTCGGCCTGCCGAGAGTCCACAGAAAACGAAAACTCCCGAGAAAGAGCAAAAGTTGGCCAAGAAAGAAGTGAAAGCAAAAACTGAAGACAAATTGAAGAAGTGCAGGTAAACTTAGATTTAGTTTCCTAATTGTGTGAAACTACGCTTTGTCGTGGTGCTATGCGTAAATTGTTGAACTGGATCTAGCTTGTTGATATGATTTTGCACTTTAAATGACTAAAAACTAGGTAAATGCGTAAGTTAACTGCAGTTTTATCGGGCAAAGTACCAGTTTTATAATATAATTTTCCAATTTGTGCCAATGTGTTCGATCAGCACGGTATCAAAATTTAAATCAAATTTAGCTTGATTTCAATTAAATTCGTAAATGATTTTTTACATTAGCACAACATATTGTTATTGAGGGTTTTTGGCGGCATCTGGCATGTGTTCGAGATATTTCGCTTTAAAACTTCTATACCCAGTTTCTGGCAGATTGCTTGATTGGTTCAATAACTATCGGTGCTCTAACGCTGTAGGTTCTATAAATTATGGCGGGTTTCTCAACGTGTCTAAACGTCAATGCCTGAGGTCTATAAAGTAGGCAAAGCATTTGAATATAAAACTAACTTTCACCAGTCAAGTTACTACCTCTACAACACTAACCCTACACCCCCATTCTTTGTCGTCTCTTCATCTAAAAAACTCACCTTGTATTATATATAATATTGTGTTTGTCTTATGGGATGTTTATAGTTCATTTACTCCTAAATGGGCAAAGGTGGCACCACCTCAAGTTAAGGTCCGACTGCTCTGACGTCACGCTGACCATTTCGCAGTGAGAGTGAGTGAGAGCCCGCCCACTCTAGTTCTGTGGTATCTGACCGGCGCGGCCTACTCGTGACGACAGAGCAGTTGGGCCTTGACTTACTGTGGTGCCGGCAAAAGTAGCTTTCAAAACTATTCGTATAAATAAAGGATCGGTTAAACCATCCAACAACTAAATCTTAGTCATATTTATTGACAATTTAACATGGATCTGTTGATGCGCGATATATTGGAAATCGGAGTGGCCATTTCCAAGAAAATTAGACAATTTTTTGCTATTTACAGTTGACTTTTGTCTCTAGCGTGTTTTTGGAAGAATGGTATCTTATGTTTACCAAGTCTTTAGACACGTAACCATGTTTAATTTGATTTTAAATATCAGAAATTCTAGTTGCTATTTGAATTTTAATGCTATGGCCCGAATACCATCTTGATCCTCAATGTTCAAATCTGAAGGCTTGATGACGTCATACAAGGTAGTTAAGTTTTTCTTTTGCGTTCTTCCAAAATCGCCGTTTTGACCACCTTCAAAGTTTTCCCCGCCATTAAACTTCCTGTACTTTCTGCCAAAGCGCCTTGCATAAGCTCCTTTATGGCCTAGTTGACCACCTTTTCTGACTGGGATGGTCTTTAGATAGCTTGTGAAAATATCTGTCCGTGTGGGTGGCTATTCGATATACCTTGCGGTCCAAGCGATTCTCCTCCCTAGACACCAAAACATCCAGGAAGGCCAGTTGGTGGTTTTGTTCAACTTCCATGGTGAATTGGATGTCTGGGTGCTGTTTGTTTAGATGATCGAGGAAGATGTCCAGGTTGTCCTGTACATTTCTACAGTACAGTAGTACGCACGTCCCATCGAGATATCGGTACCAGAGCGTTGGTTTAAGGGGTACGGTGCTCAACGCTGTTTCCTCAAACTTCTCCATGAAAATATTCGCCACCCCATGGCTGAGTGGGCTTCCCATGGTTACTCCTTCCTTTTGTTCGTAGTAATCTCCATTCCACAGGAAGTAGCTGCCCTTTAGACAAGCCTTGAACAGATTTGTTGTACTCTCTTCAAATAGCTCCGCCACTAATTCTATGGATTCGTCCAAGGGTACCTTTGTGAATAGAGATACAACATCGAAGCTGACCAGCATGTCCGTAGGTTCCAGTTTGAGGTCTTGGATCTTCTTAATGAAATGTTTGGAATCCTTGAATGTATGTTTCTGTGGACGTCAAGTATGGCTGCAGAAGAGAGGATAGATATATCGTAAGTTGGTGATTCCGGGGCAGTGACGATTGGTCTTAGTGGTATTCCTTCCTAGTGAATCTTCGGTAATCCATACAAACGTGGAGGGAGGGCTTCTGACCTAATAATCCTCTTCATGGTGTTCTCGGCTATTGAGGATATTTTGATCAGGCGGTTCATGTTTCTGAGCTTGGCTCGAGTCGGGTCTTTTTTGAGGTTTGTGTAAGTGACTGGGTCCAATAAGTTTTGGATTTTCTGCTCGTGCTCCTCTCTGTTCATGATGACTGTAGCGTTTCCTTTGTCAGCTGAGAGGACGACAATGCTTGTATTTCTTCGTATTTCCTTGAGCGCATGTTGTTTTCTCTGCTTAAGTTGCTTGGTGGTGGTTTCGCTTTCCGTAGGATTTGGGTGGTTTACAGAGGTATTTCATTTGTCGTTTGTTCTGGGAGCCCTTGCAATGCTGTTTCGGTGTTTTGTGTCGGAGATAATTATCTCTATTGGTATCGTTCTTGGGCTAATATAAAAGTTTCATCCTTTGGCTAAGACAGATTGCTCCGCAGGCCTTAGTGAGTCACTGCTCAGGTTCACTACAGTTTGTGCTGCGTCCAGGCCTGATGTCGTTTGGGCCCTCTAGATTTGGCTTCCAATTTTTCAAATTTCTTGTTTTGTCTCTTCGTGGCTCTGTTCAATTCTCCTTGTATGCTGTTGTAGGAGATGGCAACGATCTTATTCCAGTCAGCGTAATGCAAACCGTTTCCCAGTTTATTGAAGAGGTTTAGCTAGTAACAGACAGCGAACTTCTAAACCAGCATAAATACAGACTGCGCCCGARGAATCGCATRGCAACAGTGTAAGCCTKCAAGCAAACCACTTCTGAAGATGCAAGCCAYRCGTGCTTGCGAAACGTCAAGAAGAAATTCTACCGAACGACGGCCTAAAWGCCCGAAAAACCYATTAGTTTCARTATTTTTAGCATTTAAKAAAATATCTTTCCTATGTCTAAATCATMTTATTGATCAACGACGTCTTACTCATTTTCAGGGATGTTGTTCTGGRATCATTMAATGAAAAGTATTGCAAATATTATTCTGAGCAGTGTTTTTGGTGCACATATTAACAGTTATTGCGGCTAAACTGATAATCATTTGGGCAAAAACARAAAACGAAAACTACAGAATTTTGTCACTTGAATAGTAACTAGAATACGAAGTACTTTACGACGACCAAAATTGAGAACKTTCCCTACCAAAAAACAATTTTATAACCCGAATTTAATTTACTATTAAATGTACTTTTCGTTSGAAAATATTAATTTTCTCCCGGTAGTGTACTTGTAATCGTAMACTGAGGAAAAATTCAAACAAAWCAACCAATTAGCAAARTTAAAAGGGAATATAATCCATGCTATCGCCCTYGCAATGGGAAATAAACTGGTCTACTTAGAATAACGTCATTCGTAAGCGCCTGGGCCTTGTTCTTAAGACGGTGTTGATTGCCCTGAGATGTGACTAAAAGAAGCACGTATTTTATAAATTAAGCTGAATTGAAGTTAACACTCAGTGTCCGCGTATATTTCCAGATCAACGCCAGTTGAACCAGTTTACATCAGGATCCCTCTCAAGCCACCAGAGGGTGAAACGGACGAATTCTCCTATTTGGAAGGAAATGCACCTGAATCTAGCATGACCGCGGAAAAAACGGTTGAGGATAGAAGCGATAGTTTAGATACAACGAGTCCCAGTGAAGTTAATAAGAAGGATATACAGTTTATTTTCCTGACGCCTCCAAGCGATGACGAACTACTGGATAAGGTAAGGGCATGATTGAGTTGGACATTCTGATTTTAAATGTCAAAATGTGAGAATATACCCCGATTATCTACATAAGCAAACAGGACTGTTTCAAGGAAAGCAAAAAAACGTTACATAAATGGTTTTTCGGAAATCTAATCACTTCTGAGAACTAAAACTTTACCTACCCAAGGTTTGTAGGTCCTTTCTACAACAGTCACGGTTAGTGTCGATTCTATTAATTCCAGTGGTTTCGAAATAAAAAAAAGGTGTGCGTCCCGGGACGTCGGACAGAATTGATAACTTCAAATGATATTTACAGAAACCATAAAGTTCTGAACTTATTTAACGCGATAATCATTATCTAATTTCAATATTCTTATATATATAGGGTGAATCAAAATTAGCGTCATTTCTTTTAAGGGGCGATAGAGGCTCTCTTGGGGAGTACGAGAAAAATATCGAAAAATTCTAGAAGATATTAACAGTTGAAGATCGAATTTCAACTTTGTTATAAAGCATTATTTTGAAATGGTTCCATGCTTAATTGGTAGCATATTGGAATACTTAAGCATTCAGAAAGAAAAATTACGATCTTTGCTTCAAATTACGAACATTTTTTATATCAAAAAAGTTCTCTTCTACAATTTTTTGATGAAAAGGCACAGCGACAATGATGTTTTTCGTCATTAACAGATAGTTACAGGTGGATAGCCCTTGCCAATAATAATAATAATTTGTCAAACTATGACTTACTTCAGCAGCAAATTTCCTTTCACGAATTTGCGGATACGCGATTAGTTCAGGGGAAATGCTACAGTAAGTTAGCAGAACCTGAGAGAAGACCAGAAGAACTCAAGCCAACAATTCTTGGCAAGGAAAGTGGTTCCAGGAAGATAGTGGACGATAGATGTTCGGGTTCCAAGCACAGAGGAACACGTATTGGACATAACCGAATCAG